TCACATTTGCAATATTAATCCAGTTAATCCCGATTGAACGAGCGTCGTCTTCTTATGTTAATATTATCAGAGCGAATCACTAGTTACGCTTTATCTCATTACAGAATTAATGTCCGTGAAATTAATGTGAACTTTGAACACGGCTCAGTGTGCAGGGACCACCTATTATACGGGGCATATAATGCAACGCTGCAAGATTGACGTCACAATTAACGAAATTCATATTTCTCGCAGTTAAAAGTTGAAAGAAAAAAAAATGCATTATTCCAGTTAACAGTTAAATCAAGCACTATCAGCTATGCTCGTGTGCAGCCCCTTGTACAATTTTAAATTTGTATATTTTTTTTATGACTTTTTTTGCCGATCGTGTCGCCGATTTTGCAGCGTCTTTATACGTGACACTTGCGTACTGCAAGCGCAATATAATCCTCCAGAAGAGAGAGAACATTATACGTCATGCGACTAGCATATATTGTCCTATTGCCGTACAATTGCAACAATCGTATAGGAGACCCGTTATCTACATAATGCGATAATCTGAGATAAGCAATTAATGATGGCAAACATTCTTTATACAAGTAGGCACACGCGAAGAAAGGGTGTATCGTACATCTATTTAAAAAGAGCTGTACATGTGAACTGCATATTGTACGGGCATTTTGACAAAAGTTCGTGAAAGTTTCGAGTATAATATATATACAACGTGCCCGAAGCACGGAATTCGCGACGCAGAATTGTAAGCTATTGAAACTATTGCGAATGTAAAATCATTTAGTCGACTGTTCCATCAATCCCACAGATTGATCGAAGAAGCAATCCTTTCGCGCGTACTGATGTAAAAATCAAATTTGCAACAACATGAAAGCAGCTGTACCTAATAAAATCTTGATCCGGGAAAAAACTCTGTTTCCTCAATTTGATTTTTATGAGATTTGACGTTATGCTGAAAGAAATCTCTTTGTCTTGCATGGCACTGCTTGAGCACTGAGAAACATGGCGTTGATAAAATGATAGAGAGAATAATATTTTCCGTATTTTATATAAACACGATCGCTACGAGCGGACGTAAATATGACGTCAGTACGTCATATTTCTCGGTACGTCAAGCAGTATTATACCTTTTCTTTATTGTAACAGTAAAAGATTAGTCGATTCAATAATTCATTTTATATATTATTATTATATATATGTGCATGTATATATATATGTTATATATAATACGGATAACTGGTGAAAACCTCTGCAAATATCGACCACGTTAATATCTATTTATATATTTACTAAACAGTCCGGCGCCTATTATTTTGACGTGTCGTATAATATTCAGAAAGTGGACAATATAATTTTATGCACTATAGAAACTATTTCTAGTTAAATGGTACGAGGACTCGTTGGCGAGTTGATTGGTAAATACAAATTGCAGTATACGCGAAGGTCTTTCTTCGCTTCAAAATTTATAGATAATAAAATGAGGTCGCAATCGGATTAACGTGATTAGTATTACGCTGATTTAATTTTGGAATTACTGCGCTTTGAGTATGATCTTGATTCTACTTCCGCTTTTGCCGATTACGCACATTGTGCGCTATTTTGCTTAAGATTTTATCTTGGATTAAACGATGGAGCGTAATTGCGAATATGAGGTGAAATATCCGTAAATGTCTCTCCTGATTTCAGCTTCGTAGAAAAGCAGAGCTGGAAATTTACTGATTTGGACGTTAAACTTTTTCTCTCTCTCTCTCTTATTAAGAAATTTAAAAAGCATTTTGAAGTTACTTCATGATAATTTTCATAATTGCATATATAATATATTTTGTTAAAAATGTACATATAAACTATTAAAAACCATTATCACTTCAAAAATTTCGTAAAATTAAAGAATTGTTATATACTAATTTTATTAAATCTCGTTCTAAAATATTTTAAAGATAGGTACCTTAAGCATTGGTGTAATATAGAATTATCAAATATATGAGAAATATATAGCGTTTTTTTACATATCTATTTTTTTGTGTTAAAATATTTATCTTCGTATAATTTAAGTAAAGAATCAGACATATTTGGAAACATTAAAAATAATCAATTATTATTATTAAAAAATTTAACATGAAGAATAATTAAGAAACACAACAAGAAATTATTAAAATAGAATCTCATTATCCTTACTTTAATTTAGCTAAAAACATTTTAATATTAATATTTTTTTTACTTCTTCTATAAGTGTAGTGATATAAATAGAATTTATATATAAAAACCAATGTTGACATTGATATTTCTTATAAAATTCCAGTGATAAACATATATTAAGCATTAGACATAGTTCGTTTTTAAATCACCGAAACTATCAATCGATAAATGACTTTTGGAAAAAATGCTATTAGTAGTGATTTTACTGTAAACGAATTCAATTTATAATTTTATCCATTTCCACTTGTTTGCTTTGCAAAATAAAAATAAAAAACTACGCTGATATCCATCAATTTATTGATATAATTGAAGTTAAATAAACTAATGTCCGATATAATATAACTGAACAAAAAAAGAATAAAAATTCATAAATTGTATTAGCGAGGATTCGTAATATTTGTAATTAGTCTAAAACGCAAATGTTCATAAATCATGGAAAGGAAAGTTCTTGCCGTTTGCTTCGAGAATCCTATACGTTCGCCAAGAACTTGTTCTCTCAGAGAACACGCGCGCTAATTACTGAAACTTCAAATATAACCGGACATTGAACTATATAGCAGAATTCGTCACCGAATATATTCAACTATTCGAGAATATTACGTTTAAGCTAGCTCACATAAACCGTCAGATATCAGTTTCCGTTCACTTCGTCAACGTTAACGAAGATTAGCGATGAAACTATGTACAAAGTTACGTTATCTCAGAAATATGAAGCGTGAACATTCTCGTCTTTCTGTCTTAACAAATTAAAAAGACAAGTCAATTAAAAAGTTATACTGATATATCTCCTGTTTTATGTAAGAATATTATGTAATAAAACAATTTTTAGTAATTTATAAAATTAAAATTAAATAGCTAATCAATTATCCAAGAAAGTTCTCATTTAGAATACTATCAAATTTCCGATGTTAACTTCTATTCCGCAAAACCCCTCTAATTATTGATACTAATTATTGAAAAAAAGAAGTAGACAAAAAATCGACATTAATTTCATCAAAAATATATCCATCTTAATGCAATGATTATATCTAATATTAATTAGGTATAATAATTGTGTGTCAAAAGATCTATCTATTCAGAGGAATACTGATCGTTTTTCACATCAAATTTCTAAATAAAGCTCGCATGAATTCTGATTAATTTCAAATGAATTTGGGGTATTTCAATGGAATTATCTGGTTTCACGAGATATCCGAAGATAATTCTGAAGCTACCGTAGAAATATTTATTTTCTTTCGTTACCGATACGACACAGCCCGAAAATGTTTTTAATAGTGGATTATTTTAAATACGAGACGCGAAGTGGACACTACTAATCGTCTTCTTCTGCAAACTCCTTGTAAACTCAGTGGTCTATCTTGGATGAAATTACGCAGGAAACTATATACAAACTGCAAACTATTGAGAAACTAATCGCATATCCCTCTGTTCATTATCTAAAACTTTCCTAATCGCCAAACGGATAATAGGCAGAGACTCCTCGCGCGTTGCGTGAGCTCTTTGAAGCAATACTCGTACAATGCGTCCCAGCTTATGAAATATGAAATGTCATTTCACACTACGAAAGTGTGTCAGTTTGAATCATCTAATTGAATTAATTGTTCTTGAGTTTTGCTTGGCGTATCCGTTATCTACGTGTGTAACGCGAATTATTAGTTGTTTATCATTGCAAACTCTATTAGAAATGTCGAAGATCTGTTAGACTAGAAGATCGTAAGAGAAACTAAGGCAAACTATTTAATCGATTGATAGATCGCTTCATGCTTCAAATCATGTCCTTGGGTTATAATCAATAATAATATCCGGGAGTGTTGCGTTAAGTGTTGCAACTAGATCAAGTTGGATAATTCGGAAAATGGTAAAAGTAACGTTTAAAGTAATTTAAGAAAAATAATTTTTATAACGTTTATCAATTTCATAAAATAAAACTAAATAGTTTGCAAGAATAAAATATTTTAAAAATTGTTTGTAAATAATTTTAAAAAACTGAAATAATAAATAACAAACAAATAAATTAATTAAACAATATATTAGCTGTGATATAAATTCATTATATTAACTGAATCTTTAAATATATATTTTATTTTATTTTAAATATATAAATATTATAATATAATATCGCACTGATCACACACACATCTTAAAGAAAGATCTTTTATAACAGCACTGTAATGTTACAGAAATTCGATCTACCTCGAATTTATTCGAAATAGTTTCGACAAATTATCATTACGCAATCAATATAATAAAGCGTACTGGGAAAAAGCCTAACATGCATAATTACTGACTGCAAGGACTACCTACCATAATTACTAACTGCCAGATTAAGAGCTACCTATTCTATAAGGCCTAAGTTCGTAAGCAACTTCACTATCTCGATAATTAATTCAATAGTGTCGTTGGAAGAAGGCATAAATTTTTATCCCGGGGAGGGGGGAAGATCTCTACCATTACGTCTAGAAGCAGATGTGCTTCCGGCAATTCTGCGATTACACAATCTAACTGGGCGGGGCTACTTGAAGTCGATCGATCGATCGAAGAGTTTAAGACTTTCGCGATCGAAGGGCCGATAGCGGGTTCAAGCGACGTCTAGGCGTGCTCTCCGTGGACGAGGAAGCGCTCTTAGACTTGGAAGTTTTTGACGCCTTAGGCGCCTTCTCCTTGCTCGTGGTTGCCGCAGAGGTTTTCACAGGTTTCCCGGTTTTATTCGCACCGCCTTCCGAGCTCGTGCCCGTGGAGGCAGTGGAAGATGTGGGCTTACTAGACGCGATAGTGTTTTGGGGAAGGGTTTGGGTGTTGGGTCTTACTTGTACCTCGCAGGGGGGCGGCGCGCTCCTGTACGACGGCACGATCTTGAAAGTCACCGATCCACGTGCCTCCCGCTGTAACAATCGAAGAGAACCGGACTCTTCAAACTACGACTACTGAGTGAACAAGACGATGCATCATTCGCATAATGACGATGTATAATGACGAAATATACGAATTTTTATTTTCCGAAACCAAAATCATATTTCACTTCAAAAAGTATGCTTCTGATCTAATTTTGTAATAGAAATTATTATGAGAGAGTTAGGGTATATTTGATTAAAAGAAATAATCAAGATTTTGATAATTCAGTTTAAAAGAAGTTCTAAATTCCGCTCGCAGTTACGAGAATAATCTTATAATACTCACCAGAATCTTTTGCAAGGAATTAACGGATTGATTCTGAACTGGTATACCGTTGATCTCTCTAATTTCATCACCGACGTGAAGAGTGGCTTGTCTATGGATCATCCCACCGTGCATAATCCGCGCCACGAAGCACTGACCATCCTCATTCATTTTCAGTGTGATTCCCTGAAAAGCCGACCGAAAAATGCGAAATAAATTAAGAGCAGTAAATGTAATGTTTTACTGATAATAAAATGTTAAACATTGTGTTACGGGTAGCGTATTTCGAATATGATAAATCCCATACTAAACCGCGTGCATAGTAAATAATAATGCAAATTTAAAATTGTAACGTTAAAAGTTGTTTTACAGATAAAAATTAAATATTTATTGTACTGAAAATATAATGTCACAAATCTTTATTAAATTTTTGTATTTATGCAGTAATCTGAAGGAATATTGAGATAATAATTTTTTAAATTGCTTGACATCTCAATAATGTCCATGTCCATATTTTTACGTTTTCGATAAAAATTTCGAATAATTTTTTCACACATATTTTTAAAGGATTTATTCAAAATATATTAATTTTTCTCTTGTTTTACGCAGAAATTATATTGAAAATCGCATAAAACTTTTTTGCAGTTCCACACATCTCGAATGGAGAACGCCATCTCGTATCCAAAAAACATCCATTTCCTGCCTTGTTACTCACCATCGGCTCATCCGTGTTCTTCTGGAACTGCACCAGTCTGACGCGAGTGATCTTCTCATCTAAGTCACCGTTTTGTCCTTCGAGATCGTCGCCGCCATTCAGATACGTGAGGAGTGGCGGCGGCGTTACCCTGGTGGCTTCCTCGCCGTAGACCTCGTGGCCGGCAACATCGTGGGCTTGTAGAAGTGCCTGGAACAGATCGTAAGGAGAAATTGCAAATTAAACTCTTAATGTCACTATCTCGCGTGTCATAAAACAACTTGCCATTATTAGAAAAAAATTTCTCTATTCCCTATTTATCATAAGACTATCGTTGGTTTTCTTTGATAAGTTTAGTACTTGCAGCGTTGTGCTTCGAAAGGATAGTGAGTGATTCGTTCTACGAAAAAATAACCAACATTTTTACACCGATATTGAATATATCAGCGCTATTTATTTATTTGATAGACTCTATAAAGTAAGCTTGCAACTTATTAATTTATATTAGATCTATGATCTGTTTTCAGGCATCTAGTTGCAAAACAGGAAGGCGGGAGGTGATCGGAAGGTTATCGCAAGCCTATCGGCGGTCAAAGATTCGAAAACATTTGGTGAGAAGTTTCACTAGCTAAGTCTTCCCGCCTGAACGGAGGCCCATAATTACGCGGGCAATGCGAAACAAATTAGCTTAGAACTCTTAACAACTATGACCTAGTTTACACCGAGCATTTAAAACGCGCGTACTAGTAAGTTTCTATTGAATTTTCTTAATTTCGACGTTGCATGTAAACGTATACATGATTTGTGTATTTCATTAATCTTAATGCATCATGTATCAGCTTAGTACGTCATTCTTTAAATGCATTGTAGAAATTAAGATAATTTAACAGAAAGTTACTAGTTAGTACGCATATCAAGTGCTCGACGTCTAAACTAAGTCTACAATATAATTAACGTAACACAGTAATTCCTTATTATAAATAGCAGCCGTATTACGAAAGCTAATAAGTATACACAGCTCCCAACGCGGCTACGCTTTATTCACGGTGAGAGAGTTATGTATTCGCTATCCGTACAGTTTACTTTTGTGATGTTTTACAAATGAAATTATTCAATTGTACAAAAAAGAAGCATGCAATCAAATTTTGATTGCTGATTGCGTCCCTACTGCGAAACGTGATCTAAATCACGTATGAATATTTAATCTCATTATCGATGAACAACAGATATTGTTTTAAAAAATTTTAAACGTTATTGCATAAACGTATCATGTGTACGAGTATACATCGTAAGAGAAATTAAATAATTAATCGATTAAACGGAAATATATATGCGGAGCAGAAAATTATTTCGGGAAAATAATTTGATAAATATGATTTTATAAAAATGTGCAATTATTTTATCAATTATTCAGCGGTGTTATATGAAACGAAGTGTCTTATCGTGACCAGAGTAGTATTTTTAGCACGGAAAAACGCATACCGCGTGTAAGTAGCGATATGCACGTTTCGACAGAACTGGAAGAGCGTAAAATATGCATTTTAATTTACATTTAAATTATCGGCTTCCATTAAAATTCAAATGTAAATTCTGATTTTAATGGTGGGATAGCATACGCGATAAACAAATAAACGATCATGTTCTATTTTACAACGCACATATTAATGAATGCACTTACATCGTGTTTGCCATATGTTTCATTCTTATTGACGAATATTTGGTAACAAATATTTTACCGACGAATACATTCCAATGAAATTATATTTTAATGTGACACAGCCACAAGAAACGTCTCATAAATAATCCATTGTGCGTATGTTGTATTAAGAAAATATGCAATATTTTATAATCTGACAGTTTTTTTATTTGATTTGTTAGGCAGAAGTATATTAGGAAATATATGCACCTGACACATACAAATAGCCGAAAAAGAGAAAGTGTTCTACGAAACTTATGATGTTTACGTCGACTGCACGCTGAACTTGTAATAAATTTTCGTAGAATTGTGAAAAATAGCGGGCTACGCTAGAAACTGATTTCTTGAAGACTAATCGCCACTGCAAATTTACTTGGCATTTGCAAACTAACAAACTTTCCTTCTTATATTTCAAGTATAATTTTTTTTTTGGTCACATGCTACTGTACATATTAATATGGTGGGATGTGTGCATTTTGAACATTGTTTATCTTATCTTGTAAATCGGATTTACTCACGAAGCCAAATCTCGCTTTGTAATATCGGAAGTGGCCAAAATTCAAATATATACTTCCTTATTTACTAAAACTTCAGTGACAACTATTGACGCTGAGCATACTACCACGGCGGATTAGTTGAATAGACACTTTATGGGTCGATCTGGTAACTGGATTTGGTGGTTTAATAACAGTATTCGGGTTCTAAGCTGCAGTTGTTCGGTCGATCAAGCTTAAAGCCTAATCTGTTACAACCTCAAAATTGTCTCAGACGAATCGCTTGCGCGGCAAACTCAGGTTCGAGGATTGTACACGTTGCTTTGATACGCTAATTACATGTTTGCATAATCCTCCATCGGTTAGTTTCACTTCCGTCAGGGCTTACGCGTTTCCGTAACAAATTTCAACGTACGAGATGGTGTGTAATAAAAGAACAATTGTTTTAATATCAATATATCTTTCGTCCTATTTCAGTTATGTAACGAACGTATCTTTCAGTATTGGCAACGGCCTCGTTTAAACGAGTACGAGATAAACGTATATTGCCGCCTCGAATATTCGCATCGGATCATGGAAATGCTTTGTTCATAGATGCGAAGGATCTTCGAAGAAGCCACATACCGAGTGCACTTCGTCCAAGGACGGATCTCGCTCACCTGAAACGCGGCCAAACTCGTCACCTGCGACCCAGTTGATAGCGACGACAAGTCTCTATTTCTCCTCTCTCGCGCATCTACTTTATATGCAAATCGCACATGGAAAAAACATATTTCAGGCACACAGTGACTAGGTGACGAAATAGCCAAGAAATATGATAAACTCGGACGTAAATTGCTTTCTATGATATACACGCTTATAAGTAAGCACGAGAAGAAGCGACTAAATATAAACGATACGTATTATGTGTTACGTTTGTATAATGTAATTTTAGAGCCAATTTTCGAGCAGACCACAGGGAAATTATAAATTTTGTAGCTATCATTTGACAATTTGTCGTAAGAAGAAGCATTATAACCGTGAAGATGAAAAAGATAAGGCTACGTAAATCATAAATAATGGATTACTCTCCACACGACTGCATTTTTGTTCCTTTGTTGCACCATCTGTTCGGAGAAAGCACAGTTGCATAGTTAATTCAAGAAAAACGGGGAACGGACTATTTCGGTGGTTTTCGTTCGCAATGCCGTTTAATCGAATGCCGTTAATTACATTAGCGCCATCGGATATTCATTAATTAAGAACCAGCCTGTGCAGCGATGTCCATTAATGGTTCTTTTTTTTCCAGAAATCTATTGAAATTGTTAAAAAATAATGGATAATTTAATTCACAATTGCGCCGAACACGGCGAATATCGTTTATCTCCATTGTAGAGTCCTCTTTCTCAAGAATTGCCGACAACGTATGTTGTGTCAAAGAGACTATTATATATTCACACACATCATCTTTATTATCAAATTACTTTGAACTTGTGCAATTTTTTACTTAGAAAACGTCACATTACTATAATTCCAGAATGTAATAATGCGTAATATGTGTATAAATATTTCGTACAATATCTGTTATATATATATAGCTTCAACGGACATTTGAAACTTGCGAGTCTCGCGAAAGTATGTATTTGTTGTGAAAAATGTCAATACGCGAAAATATTCGGGATAAACAGCATTTTAGAAGTCAAAAAGTGTTTGTCAATTGAAAATATTCTGTTATTTAAATATTACATAAATAAAACTTAAAACAAAAATTACGAATAATTTAATTGATAGATCTGTTTTTCAATCAATTGTGAGTGATAATATATTTTCTGTCTCTTATAATATTTTTCCTTTAACAGTTTTATATACATAAAAATCAAATATATCTCGAGGATGCTTCAAAAAGTTTGAATTTCCGCTTGCATAATAACAGCGGAGAGACTGTTACTCTGCAACTTCATCCCACATATTGATGCCCGGCGCGCGCGCAAGCTTACGCAAGCTGGTCCTTGGATTCGAGGATAAAATAATATTGCTTCATGCAAATTGGAGCGCGATCCGCGCGGCTGCGGCATCATTCGTAGTCCGGAAGCCAATTCATCGGTCTACAATTCCGGGAGGGTTGCACGCGGTAAACCGCGGCTGCGGGCTGCTTCAATTGCGGTATACGTATAAGCTCTGTGTTAAAATATATAATCATTCGTCTTGCACGAAGGCTGAACAAATGGTACGGACGGATGCGGCTGGTGGATCGCGCTGGCGCGATAAAATTCATTCGAGCCGATTCATCAGCCATTCACGCCATTGGCATCGGTCGCCGGCGTAATATGCGCGGGGGAGTCCTTCGGGTAAAATATTCCTACCTCCTTCGAAAAATACGAGGGACGCGCTAAATCGACGAGAGAAGCGACTTAATCGCGGGATTCGGAAATCCGATTCAATTATCGTTTAGCGACTGAATATCCGCGGCTATTTCTGCAAGGATAGCTCCCTCTTTGGGCAAATTAAAATTCAATTATACGTAAATCTGCTGCTTTCGTTCATCTGCTGCCTGAGAAATTACTTTGGATCAGAAGATTATTAAAATCTATACAAAGTCCCAAGACTAGTCCTAAGATCATTCCCATTCAATTTTTGTGGTCCTTCGTTGTATCTTTCATTCCTTATATAAATCCGTTTTTTTAAATATTTATTTTATTCGTTTTTATCCGTTAAAAAACAAGTAATTGTTAGTTATAAATAATTAAACGTATACATGGGGATGACAGCAAATTAACTTTGAGAGATATCAAACTTTGCAAAAAGGATACAATAAAAAAATAGTTGCACTTTACATAATTTTAAACTTTAACTAAATTGAAATTTAAATGAATTTCAATTTAGCATTAAGATATTCAATATCGAAAACCTTTAAGAAGTTTCGTAAGAAAACGGTATTTAATTAAACTTTTGCTGAGAAAAAATCAATTCTAAATCGGTAAGTATGACAGGAATGCGTATTAATTTCGATAGAATCAATATTATGTAACACTCATTGTTACAGTATATAGGCTATATAGTAA